GGAGCTGGTGCTCCTTTTAAAAATTCTCTTCTTCTCTTGTTTCCTAGCTTAGGGAAGAGGAAGGGCAGCTCAGTTTACATGATGACCTAATTAAATTAGATCCCTCTGAGGCAGAGGCAGGAATCAGACAGGAAGTCAGTGAGGTAGGTGTCTGTCTCAAAGGCAAGTTCTGTACTCACGGCCCTGAGAAATACACATCGTTTTAACCCTGGAGTCATTTGGTTAAGTGGTTAATCCTGGGATTCCTTGCTTCATGGGAAACAATATTCCTTCTCCCTGGTGAGTTCATTTTACAATTACCCTTGTGAATCCATCCTCCCCATGAAATTCAGTTCAGCTGCTGGTACAGTCTTTGGAAAGGCTGTCATTTATTGTTAATGATTATGGCGTATTTTAGCTGGAACATTAGCAATCATTGGACTGATTTGTAGTATTTCCATGACATAAAAAACTCGCCCGTTGCCATCCAGTGGATTCCAACTCATAGCAACCCTACAGGACAGAGTACAACTGCCCCATAGGGTTTCCAAGGAGCGGCTGGTGGATTTGAACTGCTGACCTTTTGGTTAGCAGTCAAGCTCTTAACCACCGGGTCACCCGGGCTCCATGATGTAAGGATCAGAAAACCCTTAGGCAAACTGGATGTTTCATGAGATTTAAGAATGAAGTTGGGGGTGATAACATTTTCAGTCATGCAACAATTCGCTCAACGAGTATTTATTGAGCACCTGCTATGTGCCAGGCACAGTGCACTTGGTGGAGACAGAAAGGTGAGGTGATGTGGCCAAGATCATGTGGCCAAGATCGCGTAACCAGTAAACGAGAAAGACATTAGGTTTAAAATTACAATCCAAATGTAAAATTGTAACTGTGACAAGTGCTTCAGTGGTGGAATACATGGTACGCTTACCACTTCGCCACTAGGGCTCCCCATAAATGTTACAGCCTTGGAAACCCTATGGGCCAGTTCTGCTGTGTCTTATAGGGTCGCTATGAGTTGGGATCGACTGGATGGCAACGGGCGAGTTTTTTATGTCATGGGATCGACTCAGTGACAGTGGGTTAGGAACATGGCATAGAGTCCCCCAGATGATACAGTTAATTGTACTCGGCTGCTAACCAAAAGGTTGGAGGTTCAAGTCCACCCACAGGAACTTTGGAGGAAGAGCCTGGGGATCTACTTCCAAAAGATCAGCAACTGAAAACCCTGTGGAGCACAGTTCTACTCTGACATACATGGGATCACCATGAGTTGGAGTTGACAGCAACTAGTTACGGGAGGCATGCAGCACGCTGTCCCTGGACCTGCCTCCTAGGGGAGGGGTGCACTCACATCTCACCAGCAATTTGCTCAGTGGCAGGACTGGGCGAACCACTCCAGCATCACTGAAACCTGAAGATGGACCATGGAAAGATGACAATGCAGCCTTCTGAGTCAGGAGAAGCCATGGAAGCAGCCCCTCCCCACTCCACACCATTTCCCCAGAGCAGGTAGGCATGGACATGGGGGCTATCAGGCTACCCCTGGGCCCAGAAAGGCTGCCAATGAGGGCTCAGCACACGTCAGCCCTTTTTTCCTCCCTAGACCCTCCTCATCAATGCAAAAGGACTCCATAGAAAGGCTGGGTGGGGATCCAGCTGGGGCTACACTGGAGTGGCCCTGTCCCTATGGAATTCCCCCTATCAGGAGGCTCTGGATGAAGTCACCAGCGAGAGCCTGCAGGTGTCTAAGGCTAACCTGAAAGGGCCAGCAGTGGAAGCCACCTGGGGCCAAAAGAACAAATACCCTGGCTCTTCATAGTGATGCTGGATGCCGCTGGGGTACGGACGCCACAGCTGGGAAAAAGGGGCATGAGAGGGACCACAGAGGGAATGTTCTCCATCACTGTGACATTATGTAAAAGTCGAGACAGGAGGGAGCAAGCAGCCCTGGAGTGCCTGCAAATGGGCATGAGGCATCTTTTTGGCCTGACGGGAATGTTCTAAAACTGGATTGGGGTGGTAACTGCACAATTCTATAAATTTATTAAAAATTATTGAATTGTACACTTAAGATGGGTGAATTTTATGGTACATATACCTCAAAGCTGTTTAAAAAGCCATTAGATACAGAGGTTAAATAGGAAATGTGACTAGTTTTAATATGCCAACCAAACTAGAAATTACCAGAATGACTGAATTCTTAGGAACAGGATATTTAAGTTGCCTGTTCTAATCCAGAGTTAACAAAAATCCAGTCTGAGGCTGTAACATCTCCATGTTTTCACAATCCAACATGTTCTTTCATACCTGAGCATACATATGGCACCAGGCACAGTGCCAAGCACTCAAGTCTTCAACTAAGTGGATGGCTGTTTTTGGCAGATGGTCACGCTTGGACTCCAGTGGCAGTGGGCTGGGATGGGCCCAGAGGAGCAAAGACCAGGGACTGGTTGGGCAGAATATGGCAAGCATCACAGGTCCACAAGACACTGAGGCAGGATGAAAGGCTTGGAGTTACTAGTCAACACGTTAGGGACAACAAGATGGCTCGGGAAGGCATGGCAGCCATTAGCCAAGAGAGTCCAGAGTCTAGAGATCAGAGTTCCCCAAATTAGTGAAGAAAGAAAAAGCTAGTGCTACAGCAGGCTCTGTGGTGTGCTTCAGACCACCTGGGTTTTTCAGCCCAGCTCTGTCACTTATCTAAACGCTGAAAGCCTCAGTTTCCTCATCTGGAGTTGTTAGCTGCCGTGAAGTTGGCACCTGATACACGGGAACCCCAGGCACCATAAACGCTGCCTGATGTGATCCAGAGTTTTCACTGGCTGATTTTCAGAAGTAGATTGCGAGGCCTTTCTTCCTAGTCTGGAAGCTCTACTGAAACCTGTTCAGCATCACAGCAACACACAATCCCCTACTGACGTACTGGGTGGTGGCTGTGCATGAGGTGCCACTGGCCAGAAATCAAACCTGGGTGTCCCACCAAACCACCAATGTCCTCCATCCTGACCTGTGCAACAGGGTGACTATGGACACCTAGTTATAGTGGCACACTGTCATGAGGATTAATGGAGGCCATGTGCATAAAATCTGCAGCAAACTCGCCGTGTTTACTGTAATTATCATTCCAGAACTCACAAGCAGGACTACTGCCTTACAGAGCACAGCATCTAAGAAGTTTCAATAAACCTGACATCTTTTTGTGTCTTTAAAGAAAAAAAGCAGGAGGAACTTGGAGGAAAAAAGGCCCCACCAATCATCAGATTCAAAAACAATTCTGGCAACCAATACTACAATACACAAACCGACCTTTGTTCAGGTATCCAGAATCAGTGACCGTGAGTGTCTTGCCGTGGGCGAGTCTGCATTCCTCATCCTACCTGTGAATTTCGGTTCCCTGCTCCGCCAGATTCCCATCATTCTGCATAAGAAAGGCTCGGTGCACTCAGTGAACATGCCACTTTGGGAAGCCGGGAAGCTGCGTTGCTGGTGAACATCAGTGTGCAAGGGGGACAGCATCACGAGGCTGGTGACTCACAGAGGGGGATGGGGCCCAGACGGTTGCAAACAGCAGCATCAGTTATTCCCACACAGCCCCGCTGCCTGTAAGAACCTCGGAAGAGGGAAGGCAAGATACACAATCGCAAGGCCAACTTCAGCTTCTACATCAAATTCCTGCATAAGCCTCTGATTTAATGGTGCTGTATCCATTTTTATTTTATTTTACTCATTATTAGTGTATTCCTGGGAGAGAGTAGAATAAATTCCTCAAATGACTCAAAAGGCATATGAAATTATTTACAATCAAGAAAGGGTAGGGGGACTGAGAAGATTTATAATCTTTATATGAGAAAATGAATGGTCCAGATACAGATTAAACCAGCCTCATTAGATGTTTATTCTGAATCAGTGATAAACTACATACTTATCTAATACTATTCAAGTAAACAACTACCAGTATTTCCTTATAAGCATTAAATTATTTTCTAAATATAACCTGAAAAAAATCACTTGACGCAAATGATTGAGAGATAAAACAACAGAAACAGTTTTCACCCGCCCTGACATTAATTCTTTTAGATCACAACATCCTGATGTATAAAGAGGCGGTTTCATTTAATGTCTTCACTATTTTACTTACGTTCTTGGCAGTTTCCCCTAACTTTATTGAAAGTTAAAATATGACAAAGAAAAGTATTCAAAACATGATAAAAACATACAATAATACAAGTGAAAAAAACAAAAAGCAAAAAAAAAAAAACCCCTGCTGCAATGCCTCCGGATATGTGTTTATGATGTGACCAAAATGACAGGGTCCTGCATCCTCTCAACATTCCCCTTATCTTACACAAGATCTACGTTCATATCTTTTCATACTTTTGTCATCTGATGCTTAATGTAACCAACAATCAAGAAAACAACTAGTCTGACATGAAAAATGTAGAAACTATGACTTTTTAAGTCGATTTGAACACATTACTTGGTGCAATATTACTCTTGATAATCCTCAAATAACAGACAGGCATGACATATGAAAAGACTATCATACGAGTGATATTACTAGAATCACAAATAATTCCTATACTGACATGATTACTTCCATATAAACCAAAAAAACCCAAACCTGTTGCCATCGAGTCAATTCCAACTCATAGCAACTCTATAGGACCGAGTAGAACTGCCACATAGTTTCCAAGGAGCACCAGGCAGATTTGAACTGCCGATGTTTTGGTTAGCAGCTGTAGCTCTTAACCACTATGCCACCAGGGTTTCCTACTTCCACATAAGTTTGGATATTTTCCTAGCTTCAAAAGCTAAAAAGGCTGCACATTTTGATGGTAAGCTACTAGAAACTAATAATCAACTGGTGTTCCACTTGCCTGAGTTGGCTCCTCTGATACTAAACCATGACTCTCCACTAAAATTCTGTTACATGCAGAACCAAACTGCATTTTGTTCTAATAAAAAAATAAATATATAAAGAAGACACTGTCAGGCATATATTCGCAAGGTCTCAATTCTTAAAACATAAGTATGGGCATATTTATTTCTCTCAAATGCATACAAGACAATAATTACATAGCAACAAATCTTTTGTTCAACAATGATTTGATTCACAAGCATTTGAAATTTACATAATTTCACATCAATATCCTTTTATTTTTAAATACTGTTTAAGTAAAAAAGCCCCCCAAATAACCAATTTTTATTATTTCCTATTTATCCCTCTATACATCCAAACTTTTAAAAAGTTACAAACTGAACATTATACAGAACATATAAATCATGTTTAAAAACTTGGTTTTAAAATCACTGCTTCCCCAATGATTCCAGAAGATCCTCACACTGACAAGTATAGACACAGGTGGGAAAGTGAACTGGAGGAGGGGGAAAGAAAGAAGAGACAGACACAAGTTTGCTGTCTTAATATTTTACTAATCTGTCAGTTAAAAATGGTGATGTCATGAGAAATAACAGTTTAGGTTTAATATGAGGAATGGAGTTTGCCTCACAGTTTGAGACATGCATTTCAAGTATTTTCCTATTTGCTCTGCGCTCGCTGTAGCCAACTGATGCCGGGAAGAATCATTATTTTCCTCCATACATTCGCTCAATGTCCGCCTGGTAATGTGTTTTAAGCTCTTTGCGTTTTAGCTTGAAGGCATCTGTCACTAGACCAGTTTCAGGGGTCCACGGTTCAGGACTCAAACAAATTTTTGCTGGAATTTCAAACTTTTCCAGACTTGCTGAGATGATAGAAAAAAATTAAAATGCAAAGGCATTAAAAATGTCCAATTAAAACTCACGGCGAATTAGTGTAACTTCATCTTTGAGCACCTGCCCAAATGTACCACCAACAGCCCAGAAATCTCGCTTGCAAGCAAATCTATCCTTCAGAAATACTAGTAAGAAAATAGATATGAATGATTGTGATGGCAAAAAACTGTTTATAAAAATCTACATTTCTATCAGTAAGAGAATGAGTTATACAGTCACAAGGTGGACTATAATTCAGTCATTAAAAATGAGTTAAATCTGGGGTGAAGGGTGAGACAGTACACAATACAGGGGAAACTGGCACAACTTGTATAAGGAAAGGTCATGGAAGCCCCATAGACGCATCCAAACTCCCTGGGGGACTGAATTGCTGGGCGGAGGGCTGTGGGGACCATGGTCTCGGGGAACATCTAGCTCAACTGGCACAACACAGCTTATAAAGACAATGTTCTACATTCTCCCTTGGTGAGTAGTGTCTGGGGTCTTAAAAAGCCTGTGAGCGGCCATCTAAGATACTCCACTGGTCTCATCCCTTTGCGAGCAAGGGAGAATGAAGAGAACAGGATACAAGGAAAAGATTAGTCCAAAGGACTAACTGTCCACAGCTACCAAGGCCTCCA